TGTTATATATTAATGTGAACTGTTACAAATTAAGACAGCAGAATATTGCCATTGTACTTGGATGTAAGAAAGGAAAATTAAAATAAACAAAACAAAAAACAGGGTTCCCAAACCTCAGGGCTTGATGGGATTTCAGGTTGTAAAAAAAAAAAAAAATACTAATGCTAAATTCAACATGAAGAAAAAAATAACTAAGAATTAGGGCTGGGCGATATGGCAAAAAATGTAAATCTCGATTTTCTCAGAACGTTTGACCGATTTTCGATTTTTACGATTTCTAACTAGTCAACTTGAAAATGTGACTACAGCATGATTCAAGTAACTTCTTTATTAACCCTCTAGTTAAAGAAAATTCTATTCCAAGTTCACCACACACGTTGTCAACATGATGTAAATGTTAAACAAATCACTTGTTAAATGTCTTTGCAGAAAATCCATGCATGAACTACAGCTACTTCTTGTACAAACTTATATGTTCAGAAATAATATGAGGAAAATGCTTCAAAAAAATGACTATATACCTTCAATATAACAACGGTAGACTATTATTAGCTTTAAATGTTGCAGCTTTAGCATCCTGTCACCATGATGCAAACATGAAATATCAGACATACAGTAGTAGTTCTTTACAGGTTTTTTATTCGATTGCGCTGCTTTTCCCTTGTTTTTTCTATGTAAACATGGACTGTTTGACTGTTGCATGCATGCACTTTCTCATCCTGTTTTAATTATGTGCAAAACAAGCAGGTGTTGTGCGATTCATGAGGTTGGGTTGCAGTACTTATTTGAGATGTGGTGTCTCTGTGGCAGTACTCTCTGAAGCTGGAGAAGGGCGACTACGCTGTGCGTCTGCAGGTGCGTCACGAGCAGCAGAGCGAGCTGGAGCGTCTGAAGGACCTGCCGTTCCTCGTGTCTCACCGGCTCTCCAACACGCTCTCGCTGGACGTCTACGAGACGCACCGCGCTGCCATGCTGGCCAAGAAGGCGGCCAACTCCATCACACTGAGCCCCGGCGCGTCGCAGCCCTTCTACATCACAGCCCTGCCCGACGACAAGTGAGTGTCCCTACAGACCAGTGCTGGGGAAAGTTACTTTTAAAGGAGACATATTATGCCCCTTTTTTTTAAGTCTCTGGTGTCTCCAGAATGTGTCTGAAGTTTCAGCTCAAAATACTCCACAGATCATTTATTATATCATTTTGAAAATGCCTATTTTGAGTGGAAGCAGAAACACGCAGTTTTTCGTGCCTGTCTCTTTAAATGCAAATGAGCTGCTGCGCCCCGCCCCCTTTTCCAGAATAGAGCTGCGCCATTACAGCT